TATTATAATTACATTATCTACCGTCTAGTCAGCGAGCCTTATACATTCCTCGTTTATTTCGACGGAGACTTTATATACGATTTCGTCCAACAAGCTCGTTAACGGCCGCAGTAAAAAAAAATAATCGACGTCTCTCGCACGTTTTTAGTCCACGACAAGATATGTTTTTTTGATTTTGAACACGGCAAGGTCAACGCAGATGTCGACACTTGACGTTCCTCCGATATAATATACTATTATAACTTGACACTGCTGTCGAGACGTATAAGATACGTATCTATTATGTATACACATCACACACGCGTGTTAATATAATATAGACAAACTGTAAATTCCTCGAGTTTCCGGCTTTGACTTGCCTATACACATGTACCTACCTACGTCCTATCGAATGAATTAGACACGAGAACTGTACGCTTCTTACGTGGTCTGGCGGGTGAGCATTATAATATTATCATAAAATATTGATATTAATAACTAATATTCGTACACCGTTTGTCACTTTTTCGTTTGGTTTTATCTAACTACAGTCGCAGGTTATTGTTCCGTATAAAATGCATATCATTATTTTTAAATCTAGCTGCTGATAGTCGCAACTTCGCAAGCAAACCGAACGAGTTACACTGTATAATGTCTCAGACTCCCAGCAAGACGGTTTCGTCATGGGGGCGAGGCAGTCGGCTTATATTCTGGCGATGTAGCGCATGATAGAATGTCGCGGTACCTATGATAATATACTTGGTGGCATAAGCGTTACACAATATGATGTGTATAATAGAATAATAAGTGTTTGGTGGACGCTCGTGATGTTTTTCATAAACAATTATTACTGGAAAAAAAAATTAAACCATCGTCATTTGTCGACTCATTGCTTATGACACAACTAGGTGTGTTGATATATATATATATATATATATAGATTATATTATTACTTTACTGTTTCGTGTTTCGTGAATCCATTAAACAAATAAAATAAAATAATAATATCATAGTGCACGCTCTGGCCGAAATCCAAAGACCTACTAAAATACTAAATCATACAAAAACACAACATTACGTTCATGATTTATTAAACCAAACTGCTGTATATGCCAAGCCGGACGACTGACCTCTATTTAAAAGAGTCCGATGCAACTTTGATGGATTTTTTCTCTTACAATTGACAAATAATATCAGTCAAACGCAATAAAGGCGTTTTCTTATTTTTCATCTTTATAAGTACCTATGTCTTAAGGGAGAAATTGGCAATTTGAAAAAATTCTAGGAAAATCCTCGATTTTCAAAAGAAGTAGCCCCACGGAAGACCCGTACAAGTTGGTTCTCTAAAACACTTAGTTGAAGCATTGGTAGGAAAACCAAAATTATGGAAAGGGACAATGCATTTAATGTAATGTTTCAATGACTATTGCAACTAATACCATCGGATAGACATAGATTTGATCCCTGCGTGAGTAGAAAATATTTCAATTCAATTTTAGAATAACACGATGCAATGGCTGTCTTTGCATATGACCCAAAGTAGAAAATTTATTTTTCAAGAAACACTAACTGACGAGAGAATAAATGGCTGCTCCTAGGTATGCACTTATATTATAGCTACATCTTATATGCTCACCAATCGTATAGATATAATATACAAATGACTGGATAGGACGAGCATAATATCATCAACTACATGCGTCTCTCTTCCCCCCAAAAAATACCACGCGTACGCAGTTGATGACACATCAATTGTTTGTCCTATCCATTGCTTTAAACGTTATCTATAAACCATTATTACTTTGCTATAAATATCCGGCGATCGGTATAAATATAGGTGCAGCCGTTTCACTCGTTTTCGGCACCGAATACGTCGGTTTGCATTTTTTTTGCGCACAACATAAAATCGTTTTCGACGAACTGTGCTGATAATGTCGAATGCCGCTGCAGGAGATAGGGCACGCGCGCTGTAAGTCCAACACACGCGGGAAGTGCATCGAAGATAAGGCGGTGACGGCGGAAGTCCGCTGTTTTAACCGTGACGAAACAATGCGCAAGTGATACGTGACGTCGACGGGACAATAAATAATTACGCTTTTGATGAATTCGCGATAGGAAATAAATATAAAAACCAATGGCTCATATAATATACGCGAAAACTGTAAACCAGATGCGTATAAAACGATCGCGAAACGGCGTTGTATATGGTTGTACGGCCGATGACGTTGTTATTGTTATTGCAAACGTTTTGGACGAATTTCGATTTTCGCGCACGGACGGCAAATGGAAAACATCATTATGACGACGGCGTCGAGGTCGTCTCCGCCGCCGACAAGTCTATGTAGGTATTCGCCGCTCGGGAGAAAAGAAAACAATATTACGTTATTTACACGTTATTGCGTCCCGGCGGCGGCGAGTTATACTAAATAATATTATATTATAATGTTATACTCTTCGACGCAATATTTATGACATACCACGCGACACGTCTCAACAACAATCCGATAACAATAATAAAAACAATAATGACGGCGATGACAATATATACGTGTCTCATTATAACAGGCGTACAACAGCGGCGGACCGACGGCATAATAATACAGCACGTATGGCGTACACCGTACAACAACAATATTGTCGCTGCGTACTCGTTTGCCTTTTTGTACGTGGCGTTTTCGTCACAATATAGGTGCCTATATGAATCGGACGACGGCGTTACGCCACGCGAGTCTTGTGACACGGCCGCCGCGGACCGGACGATCGGACGGACGGACGGACGGACGCAGGGCGGGCGGGACGAGCGGACCGCGAGAGAAAGTGTGGCCGCGGAGGGCACGGAGAGAGAGAGAGTGGCTGCGGTAAAATCCGTCGACGTCGCGAAGGTCGATGGGTAAAAAAAAACATTTAAGTGCACACAGTTATAATAATAATAATAATAATAATTGTAATATTATTATGTAAATTTCACCGTGCTCGAAATACCGGTAGTACTGGTATACGCGCAAGACTTTAATATTATTATGATATACGTACTTTTAAGGTACGACTTCGTACATGCCGGCAATATTATTATAATATATTTACATAGAATAATATTATAGTATAGTATTATATTAGTGGTCGTCCTCGGCGCGTTATGTAATTATTTTACTTTTTCGTTTGCGCGACGACTATCCGGACTAGGAGATAATATATATATATATATATATATATATATAACGGCGAGTGGCCGGGAGGAGAGAGTGTCGATAGAGGAGAGAAAATCGAATCCTATCCGTCGTGTTGTTCGTTATTATGTATTATAATATACGGTTTACCAATCAATATTATTATTCGGTCGGCGCCGTTGTCGTTTAAGATATTGATTATTTTTACTATTCTTTGTAGGTACCTACGCATATAATATCGTCTGGATTACGACAGCGAGCTGCGCGGGAGGCAACTGTGGCGTCTGGCGAGGATGTAGGAAAATAATAAATGAAGAACTAGGTAGGTTATATCATTATTGTTGTTCTTTTTCGTTGGTACATGGCGGAAAAAACGCGGCTACTTGTCACGACGACGACAACGACGACAAAGGCTATACAATGTGAAATAATATAATAAATATATAAATCGTGTTTATTCGTCGTCGTCATTGCCACCGCCGTTACTACACCGAGTACGGATACTTGCTGCAACTGCCTATCGTAATAATAATTATATACACTTGTTGTGGTGCGGAAAATAATTAAAAAATAACCGAACACTGTAACATGTATACGGCTATTATACTTAACGCCATCGTCAATAACAATCTATATAGTCTGAATTATTATCTTCGTCCCGAGCGTATTATATACTGTTAAGACTATTACAAAATAGGGTACAGACATCATTGCGGTAGACACGCAGATTAACTAACTTCACGGTGGCGATGGGCATAGGGCGAAATTGGCCAAAGGTCCGGCCAGTCGGGTACGCATCAGAGATTCTAGTGATAATAATATCACGACTCGCTAGAGAGATAGTTTGTCGAAGTGCGTTAACTACAACTTACAGTTCTCTGGCTGTGGTGGTGAGGTGCGTGGAAAGGGGTGGGTGTGGACCGCGGAGATGAAACCGGTTGTGTTATGTGCTTCAGTCCAAGACTCCCACCGCGTCGGGGCCTTCGAGAGGCGCGAGCATATGTGTTTGCTTTGCACCGATCAGTTATTTGACAGAGAAAGACAGAGAGTGATATGGCGGTGGTGTTGCTTTCCAGCAGAGGACGAATCGATGAAACGGATGGATGGAGAGCGAGAAATGTAGATGTGGACTGACACTAGGCTGCAGGGAGAGATATACAGTGAGAGGAAAAGAAAACGACAAGCGGTGGCTGGTTCCGCTCTTCAACAACGTTCCGGATCGCGTGCACTCGGACTCACGACGATGGGTTTGTACGTGCGTGCGTGTGTTGTGCTTGTACGATGTAAGTTCGAAGACTTATACGAATTAATATAAAGTATACCTGCCCACCTGTTGTTACCTATCTGCAGAAATATATAATAACTATAATGCTACCCGACAACCGATAATAATAATAATACGTGAGTTTATTATTATTATTATTACGATGAGTAACGCAAAGTAATACCGTAGTAGCTTGCACGCGTATGCACCGCCGTTGCTTTAGATTTCTCTTCGTGGGGCCGGTTGACCGTGTCGCCGCGCGCAGCCGGTTCGAGCCACAGGTATCTTATATTATATTATAAAACCAACTAACCCGATCGACCAACTCTATACGGTTAACTAGGTAGGTAGGTAGACAGTGCTGGTAAACAGCTATATAAACCGTGAGACCGCCGAGGGGTAGTGGTGGGTGAGGTGGCCGAGGAGAGGAAGCAAAGTTGCCACCGCCATAATGTCTTATATCGTGCGGCTACTACAATCGTATACTGAACATTGAAGGGATAATATTGTGGCAATAACACGATTAAATATATATGAAAAATAAATAATATTACGAAAAAAGAAACATAAAATATCGTATGGGTACTTACACCACTTGCGCAGGAAGCTGCTGGTGAGCTTTGTGCACAGCTTGCCTTTTTTGTTATGCATCTTGATAGCGGACGTTCGGTGTGTGTGTGTGGCCGAGATGAGCTGCTACTGGCAGGTGTGTCGGTCGACCTGTTGGCTTACCAAACGCGGCGCGAGTTCACCGCGAGAACATCAATCCGACGAGGACGATATCGCGAGTATAATGCGCGTGTGGCGCACACCGCGAGGCGGCGGGCTGTCGGTCGAATGCGATTTACGGATAATATTATTATTTTTTTTTTTTTACACGGCGCCAAAGGAGAGAGAGCTGCTGCTGCGGCGGCGGCGTCGTTACGTGTGTTCGGAGCGACGCGTGGCGTTGAAAGTACACGAGACGGTGGTGGCGTCGGTGAAGAATATTATAGTTGTAATACCTACGACGAGCGCGCAGGGGAACGGTGTATGCCGCAGTCGACGATGTTGTGTTATTGTGGTTGCCGTAATTCACGTGCGAAATGCAAAACAATTTCTTTTGGTACGTGGAAAATCGTCGAAACGATTATAATGATAGTAAAATAAATATTTTCTGTCGGTCCGCGAGTTGTTCTGTGCTGCAGTAGTCGGGCGGCGGGTCGCGATAACAGACTGACTGACTCGACTTGACCGACGGACTGCAGCGGCGGCGGATGGCTCTCGCGGCGCGCGCGACCTCACTCCCTCTCTCGCCAATGGCCGACGCGCTCTCACCGCCACGGCCGCCGCGACCGCTCTACTCGTGCACCACAAGAATATATAATTTACAAGAAGAAGAAGAATAAGAAGTAGAAGAAGGTTACGTCGCCGCCGCGATGGTGTCACGTCGATAACGTACCAGTTACACTCACACGCACACATACACCGGACCGGTCGTCTTCACTCGTCATAGGTCGAACGCAATAAGGGAACATTGGGAAGCGATCGCCAGATTTAAGTACCCTAATGCAGCTATATAAAAGTTGAAACACTGTAATCTATATTATGTACTTTACAAATCATTAAGATGGTTAGCGGTTTTGAATATTACAAATTTCTTGTCACAAGAACGACCACAATCGACCGTCGAATAGGAACGATTTGTCTCAAAAGTTCCGTATCACCACAAGTACCTTGCACGGCAAACAATATGTAGCTTTTGCGACGGAAATTCGAAAGAAAATTCCAATTGAATAAAATCAAATTGAAAAAATTGTTTATGTAATTTTGTTTTTAAAATTTTCGAAATAGCAATTTCTGTCTTCATTTTTATTTCAAAAGTGGTAAAATTATAAAAATGACTAATTTAGAATTGACTGTTAAGTTTTTGATTTTCGGTGGAAATAATAGGCAGGTATTATAGATTAAGAAGTAGGCAAATCCACAGTTGGTGGAATCTTACTATAAATGTACTGATTTTAAGTTGTGTTGAAAACATATTCATAGGTACCTCAATAGATCTATTTTTACAGATTATTACAATACAGAAATGTGAGCTTTCAAATTACAAATTGATTGAATACATATAATAGAGTATATCAGATTGACTGTCGCTACCTATTAAAATGTTTGTATGATTAGTTTTTATGAAAATCAAAAACTTAATGTGCTGTTACTCTATTTTAACATATATATATATTTTCAAATTATGTCAATGAATTAACATTTTCTTATCAATGTTTAAATATATTTAATTTTAATTGCTATGGAGATTATTGGAAGATACGGAACTTTTGTACTAGTTGTATATCTGTGTGAGGTTGTAAAATAAAAACCTTGTTTTGTTAACAAATCAAGTCAAGATTGGGGGGCATTTTTTTTTTGGTTTGGGGAGGGGTGAAAAAGTGGTTGAAAATCTTTCCCACTTTTTTTTAAAACCACGACATCGAGGTGTACCGATAAAGATTTTTCACCTAGTCCAATACCACTGACCATATAATATATGATATATTACCTGATGGTTAACAATCCCAATTTTTCTCTGATTCGTTATAATTTTGTTCTCCTCGAGGTATTTGGTATATTATTATGATGATCGCGATCGGTGTAAATACCAGCCGTTTTGTGTAGCGTTATTGTAGCGTGAAGGCGAGATGGTTGATAGCAGCAGTGTATGTGAATTCAAAGGGGTGGGGCGGCGGAAGAGCCTCGCCTTCAACCAGGCCTTGTGTAATATTTCATTTATACCCATGCAAACATCTATATTGACGGAAAATCTAAAATACCACTCAATCAACTTGACGGAAAATAAATAATATTTTGTACAATTATATATTTATCAACGGTATTCTATAGGGTATTTCAAATTCTTAAATTCTATACCATAACTATATACCAATTGCGTACATCATGGAATAAAATACTATAAAAAACTTTCACATTATCGGTAATGTTACATCACACTGAATTCCAGCATGTATAAATCAAAAGTCTAATTCGTATATATAATGAACGTGGTAAATATAAGTGTCTCATTATGAATGCAACAGATTCAAATTATTTCGTTTAATTATGCTGTCATCCGCTCCGCCAAAAATAAATTAAGCCAAATTCGCTACTGGACGGTAAAAGTGAAAATCAATATTAAAGGACGTCATCATCATTTACAAACACTTATTAATAGATGGTAATAGTGTACAAATATAATTTATTGGCATGTATGATGTATATACTGTTATACACATTGTACATTTATACATGGCAGTATATAGTGTAGTGTCTATTACATAGCATAATAAATTAGAGCTGCAAAATGATACGGTGGAGAACGACGTGCGTAAAATATAACATAAAAAGTTAGAAATATTAAAATATTATTATACAACATGGCTGGTGTATGCACATGTATTATAATGGTTTGGCGACGGGTGAGAGGACGACCGCTCCGAGGACGTCGTCGTCGGCAGCGGCGAAAGTGATTCGAAACCGCGAATGTTATACACGCGCATTAACTATAATCATTAATCATTAACAACGGAAATAATTATTATTAGTGTAATAACAATATCAACACTAAAAAAAATTTTAAGCCATACGACCGTAGGACTAAGTTGTAGTGTATTATTATGTTAATAATTATATATATTATAAATAGGTGGTGTAGTGTATATAAACGAAAACAAATCTATTCACCAATTAGGCGACGACGGCGAGATATGAAAGTAAATGAAAATAAAAAAATACGGTAAAAATGGTAAGCGTATTTATTTATTGTTTTTTTTTCTATTATATCAGTTATAGCGCAGCACTGTTATTGATACCTCTAGGCTGAAAGTGATATTTATATCATCGGCAGCTAACAGTGTTCGAATTCGAGGTTTGATCAAATTTATATTTGAGTATATTAAAAAAAAAAAATACATGTTCAGTAATTACAGTTAACTCATAAATCATAATATATTCTTTCAGATTTTGATTATTATTATTTTTTTTTTTTGAGATAAACGATTTTTGTGGATTTTCAAGGATAGTTATGTATATATTATGTACCTAATACCTACATGCATATAAAATGTGATGTGATTAACTTAATGGTTAGGCAAGGTAAAAGTAATTATCGTATAAAATAGTAATACATATTATTTCAAGTATTAAAATATCAGAGCCTTAAGTTACACGTCATAATAAAATATTGCTAGGTAATATACATATACCTAAAAAAAAATCAGTGCCAAAAAAAACTTCTTCAAAGAATTTTGCTCTTTCAATCACAACTTATAATTTCGCTAGTTATTCTAACTAGCTTAAGTTTTCTCGAGATTTTGATTTGTTTATGTACCTTTAATAATAATGGTAAGCATAAGTACTAAAATTAGTAGGTACAAGTTATTACAAACTGTAATTTAAAAATAAATAATTTTGCAAAACATACACTTTCGATAAAATTAGAAATTGTTTTCTGATATTGCATGATATAATAAAATGAAAATGTACCTATTTGTATGTAATTTTTATTATTGATTGAGTATAACTTTTAATATTTTTAAATAAGTTCAACAAAGTATAATTCATCATAATTTAAAAGTGAATTAGTAAGTAGATAGTATGTATTGTATTTAGCACAATACTAAAAAGTAGTGAATAGTACGTTCTGTACCTATAGGTACTTATGCAGAATTATTATTTTCACGATAAATTAATATTATTAATAATAATATGTGAAGTGTTACACTATTTTCCTTTGAAAGAAAACCATTTGATAGTATCATACTTATTTAAAAGTTTAATTACTATAATTTTAAATATGTGTTATTATATTAATTATACTAATTAATAGGTTTTAATTTGTTTGATGAATGCATAACAGTTTATACAAACCCTTTATGAGTTATACCATGACCAAGTTCATACATTTTTTAACATGTGAAATTTCGAATCAAACAATGTTCAATGTTCACATTGCTAATTGTAATACGGGTTAATTATTTTATAATTCGTAGTGAATTCTTTGTAGGTGATTATAAAATTTAGGGCATAAGCCAAAATATTGACAAAAATTCCATAGCATTTTCGTAATAACTTTAATCAGTGAAGAAAAATTGTATGTCTGTTAAACTACATTAAAAAATGGTTTAAGTTGGTATATTATAATATATATATATAAGCGTTCCTGCGTAAAATGTGAATACAATTCATACATCGAAAATAATTATGACGACTATGTATTGCCAAAAAGTCAAGAGAAACACATTTTGTTTACCACACAAATGACTAATGAGTAACCGAATTTATCATGGGTTTAATATCATTTATTATAATAACATACTATTATAAAATAATACAGGTTTATTGATCAGAATAAGTGAGTACTTGTCAGGTATAATAATTAAAATAAATAATTGCATTAATTGACAACACGGGCAAGTGCACCCCGATGGTTTAATGATGCAGTCCAGAGATAGGTGCCTAACCTAGTCCTAAACTACATGCGGGGGAGCTAGTGGCTGTGGCCCCTTCCCAAACCCTCATTTCTATCAAATTGCATATTGTTAAGAACAAAATTACCAAAAAAACATATTATAATATCAAAATTTTCTGAGAATTATGACTTATGAGGCTCCCCCCAACCATGTCTCTGAAGCCGTCCTTGAGATTCACCTACAAATAATTCAATATTATTTAACATACTAATTGAACTATTATTACACATGAATTTGTACTTGTATACCTATTTTAAATATTATTACCATATTTATTAAAATTTGAAGTATTTCAAATTCTAGAATGGTAATGGACACTATACGCTATGATTGCTGAAAAGTAAAATGCCTGAAATCTAGTACTACACTAATAAATTAATAGGTAAATAGTTCGGATACATGTCAGTATGTTACATAACCAGAAACATAATATTTTCTAGGAAAAAATATATTTCACTACGTTTCGCGTGCTATGTAAGTATACTAAAATAATCGTATAAAATCCGAATACTGTTATTTGTATATTTTAAAATTTTATTAACTAAACAAAAATTGACCAGGTGTTCAATCTATTAGCAGAAAATGACAAATAATCGTATATTCTAAATCCACTGATTCAAGAGTGTGTTTCCCCACGTATACTGAAGATGACTCGGATTCGTAAAAAAAAAATAATAAAATGTAAACAAAAACTATACATGTAGGTTATTTGCTTATTTCAATTAAAAACTGCTGTGCATAAAACAATAAA